TAGTGCTGGAGGAGCTGCTGGTGCTGGAGATGCTGGACCTGCTGGTGCGTTTCGCCAACTTCTCGGTCTTCCGCCAGCTCCTACTGAGTTCCCAATCGCTGGTACTACTCCTCCGTTACTGTTTCCACCGGCAGACCAGTCTCAGCCACAGCTACTACCTCACTCCCCACTGCCTGCTCCTGCTCCTTACACTGCTGTCATAGAGTCCCTGACTGAGCATTGAGAGCCTGAGACTCGTGCTTCCACTCCTGAGCGTTGAGAGCCTGAGACTAGAGCTTCCGTTCCTGCTCGTGTTCGTTGTGTGCGTCGTCCTCGTGCTCCAGCTTTCCCAGGCACTCACAATATGACACTCCGTCCTTCCACAGCGTGTTGTCCTACCGTCACCTTCTGCGTCTTCTCTTCCTGATGTTGCTGACCCTCCATCTGACCTTGCTCGTGCTTCCAGTCCGACTGTCACTCGCTTGCTTGCTACAGTTGTGATGGACCCTACGTTCTCGTCTCCTGCTGCATCTGCCTTAGTTGCTGAGCTAGTTAACCTTGCTGCTGTGCACTGCCTAGACTACCTTGCGAGTCTTGTTTCTGACCTTGACCCTGCCTGTCCTCCGTTTGTTGGGGGTGAGGTTGCCCTTGGCTATTACGTTCTTGAGGACAGACAGGAGGAGCTGGAGTGTCTTGCGGCCGCTGCACTTCATCTCGCGACCATGCTTCTTGCCCCTGAGGGAGACCCGGATGCACTTGACATCCTCACCCCGCGCTCTTACAGAGAGGCGATCTTGGGTGAGTACTCCTCTCAGTGGGAGACAGCCATGGACGCAGAGATGGCTTCCTGGAAGTCCACAGGCACCTACGTTGACGAGGTTCCCCCACTTGGGGCGAACATCGTCAGTGGCATGTGGATTTTTAGGGTGAAGCAGCCGCCGGGTTCTCCGCCTGCCTTCAAGGCACGTTACGTTGCTCGAGGCTTCAGTCAGTGTGAGGGGGTCGACTTCTTTCAGACCTACTCCCCCACCCCGAACATGGCCACTCTTCGGGTTTTGCTACACGTTGGAGCTCAGCGTGACTACGAGCTGCACTCCCTCGACTTCTCGACAACTTTCTTGCAGGGTAGCCTCCACAAGGCCATCGGGCTGCGCCGTCCACCTGGATTCACTTGGTCGTTTCCTGAGGGTACCCAGTGGAGCGTACGGCGGCCAGTGTATGGCCTGCATCAGCCACCCCGCGAGTGGCACGAAACGCTAAGGACGACACTTGCAGCTCTTGGGTTTGCTCCTTCAACTGCTAACCCGTCGCTGTTTTTGCGCACCGACCCTTCTCTGCCGCCGTTCTACATCGTCGTGTACGTTGACGACTTGGTTTTTGCTACTGCTGATAGTGAGGCACTGGCCCTAGTGAAGGCGGAGCTGCAGGAGAGACACACCTGCACTGACGTGGGTGAGCTACGGAGCTACGTTGGCTTACAGATCACCCGGGAAAGAGCACGACGCACCATCACCCTGACGCAGTCACACATGGTGCATCAGGTCCTCCAGCGCTTCAGCTTCCAGTTCTCCTCACCACAGCCCACTCCTCTGCCTACATGCCACTCGCTCTCAGCTCCACCTTCGGACGAGACCGTAGAGCCGAGTGGTCTATATCCAGAGCTTGTGGGTTGCCTCATGTACCTGATGACGTGCACACGACCTGACCTCGCGTACCCTCTCAGCCTCCTGACTCGTTACGTGGCTCCCAGTAGACACCGAAAGGTGCACTGGGATGCTGCGAAGAGGGTACTGCATTACTTGTGCAGTACATCAGACATGGGGCTTGTACTTGGAGGACGGGGCTCAGTGGTACTCACACGTCACTCAGACGCTACCTGGACCAAAGATCAGACGACTCAGCGGTCGTCACAGGGTTACACTTTCATTCTTGGTTCTGGTCCTGTATCGTGGAGGTCTACTCGTTCGTCTTCTGTGCTTGGTTCCAGCTGTGAGGCAGAGATCTACGCAGGGGCTATGGCTACACAGGAGCTACACTGGCTGACCTACCTGCTGACCGACTTGGGGGAGCGGCCTCGTTTACCTCCAGTTCTGTATGTGGACAACAAGCCATGCTTGCCTTGTGTCGCGAGTAGAGACTAGAGCACAGAACAAAGCACATTGCTCTTCGCTACTTTCTTGCTCGAGAGCTGCCGCAGCACGGTCAGCTCCGCCTTTCCTACGTGGCCTCTCGGGCCAAAAGTGCTGATGTTTTCACCAAGGCCCTCGGGTCTGGTGATCATCAGTGTTTTTGCACTGCTCTTGGGCTTCTGCCCATTCTGCCTCACCTGCTTGTCTCTTGATCTTGCCTTGCACTTGTTGTACACTGATTTATATACTTATACCTGCATGTCTACACTTGTTAAGTTGTGATCAGTGTATTCCCTTCCTATCATAACTCTGCATGTGAACTGGCCTGGTGACCGATTGCTTGTGCTCAGACTGCGTGGTGATCTTGAGATCCACACTGAGCTGTGCTTTGTTTGTTTTGTTTGACTGGTCTTGTGACCATTCCTTGCTCTGGCTATCCCCCACTTCGCCTATGGGGGTGTGTTAAAACATATATGCTTGTGTTTACATCTCTCTAGGCTACATTGGGGCTATCTTTAGGGGGTATAGAAACCATCTCGATACTTTCCTTGTACCTAATCGACACTCTTCTCTCACTAGGTTTCTAACATCCCCTTCACTATTTTAGGCCTTCGGGTCATATGCACATCCCTTCGTACACCTTGGAATTCAAACATGCTAGTTCTAATCTCAAACGAAATGTTATTGGTGTAATCGAGTAACCCGATGACAATTGCACTGTCAAAGCTTTGAACATCATGACCCAAGACATGAATGAATATTGCCGCATATAGAAAAAAAGGTAATGGTAATAAGAGAAAGTCGGGTGATCAGCGGACCTAGCGCCAAGGTTGGGATACCGAGACGTAGTGCTTGTCTAGGGTTACTATTCGGGTCCTGTGGTATGGGCGCGATGACAGTGATGGGGGAACACCAATCCGGATGAATTTCTCGATGTGGTAATGGAACAGTGTTCGTTCGTGGGCGCCAGGCTTGTACAAGATCCATGAGGTGACGCGAAGTAAGTAGAAGTTGTTTCTTAACAGATGGTAGATTGGCCAAATATGTATCACTACATGGATAAGATAGTGTAGAAGCTTGTACATTTGAGTGGAGGCGCCAAAACAGGTGTTGAGGAACAGCAGGCAGAACAACGATGGACTGTTCCCCAGCCGCGAACTAAGTGACACGTCAACCACGTCGTGTGGAGTGGTCCGCTGTCGGTGAAACGCTCCGCGACACATAATCACATTTGCGGCTGCCGTGTTTATCACACGCTCATTATACTGCTATTGGGCCGAGTATCTAGCCTGGTACTCGTCACCTACTAGGCGCTAAAACCTGGTTTGGTGTTTGAGACAGCCCTGGATTTGGTTGGGGTTGAGGTACGGAGAGTGATTATGGTTGGTGGATTTAGCCCCGGAAAGACGAAGAAAAAACGACAGCATGATGATGATTCTTGCCTGGTGGTAATCCGCTAGTTTGATTAGGAAATGGAAGGAGCACTTGGTCCTGCAGGGATATTTAGTCATACACAAAAGGAAACCAGTCCTGATAACTACCGGAAACCTGACCGGATTGTTTTTCAAACCGACGAGCGCGGCGCGGCCGAGCTACCTAACATCGAACCGCCCCACAGCTACGGCTTGCTGTGGGTGATCGAGATTCGAGTCGAGAGTCGAGCAAGACACACCGGCGGAGTATGAATGAGCGCAACAAATGTAGCCATGGGCGATGGCATAAGCTGTGTGCACAGTGTGGTTGATATCATACACGATACCACCAGCGGAGAACGGAATACCCATCTTCCTGAAGACAAGCTCATTCCAACCTCTTCAATGCTGATCAAGCGCGACTGGAAAAGACTATTTGAGACTCGAACGAGGAGAGTTGAACTCTACCATACGGAGAGTACAATTCGCGGATTTGCGTACCGACACAGCCGTCATTACTAGCTAGTAGCTACAGGAATCTCTTCACAAAAGTACCACGTTCCCAATCCCCTCCCATTCGATCCCATCATTAAGAAATGCGTTTCGTTTTCATGGTGCGCTCTTCGGACCTGCTATAGCCTCGTTTGCGAGAGATGATCGGGGATGAAGTTATTTTACTTCGGCTAGATTTTCAGCCTTCCTGTAGCTTGACTCAGATTTTAAGAGGACGTGGCGCCGTAATTTGCGTCAAGCAATAGTCAGCGCGCGACGCGGACGCAAAACACACCCTGTTGAATGGCTTATGACGCTAGTTCCGCCGCGTCTCACGACCGAGATAGATTCTCTACTTCGACCTTCCCAACTCAATAGTGCCATCCGGCCGTCATCGCCACGCTGCTTCCGTGCAGCGACGCATCCCCTCTTAACTTACCACTGGTAATCAGACTACCCCAGGTACGACTCTACGTAGTTTCGCTGCCGCCCTGTCTTTTTTCGTCGCGCTTGATAAGCCATGGCTCCCGTCTACAAGCATTCCACGGCGATCCAACGGGTCAAGGCCGCGCGGAAGAATCTTCCGAGCTTGACGATGCCAAGAGCAGCCGCTGCTTCAGTCGCTCCATCCTTTCATACACGCAACACGAATTCATTCGCTGCGACTGGAAACGCTCACCACCGCACGACGAACGGCCTCGGAAGGTCATCTCGCGCTGCTCCTGAAGTCCACTACCCAGCAGCACTCCCGATCCTCCTCTCCCCCTTCCTCCTCTCCTCCTCTCGTCTCCCTCCTCTCCTCCCTCTCCTCCTGCTGCTCCTCCTACCATCCGTCCCAAGTCGCGTACGCGCGAGTCAACTTGTGCCTGTGGCGCCGCCGCCGTTTCTGCCGCGCGCGACGGCGGCCAGTCCGGCCGTGAGTCACCGTCACCGTCACTATCCGTTCAACGGTTCAGAAACGTTGTCAATCGCGCGCGTTCAGCTCGCAATGGCTGCCGCAGAAGCCGCGGAGAAAGCCGAGCTAGCAGCAAAAGCCGCCGCGCGGAGAGCCGCGAGACTCGCCGCAAGCGCCGCCGCCGCCGCAGAGGGCCGGATTTCCGCCACTGGCGGAGCAACGGCCGCGTTTGCGCGTGCATTCGCGGGAATCGCACCGGGCGCCAACGACTCGTTGGTGGGAAACAATGCGGGGGAGCAAGATGCGGGGGAGGCGGAAAGGGAGGCGGAGGAGGAGGATGATGACGAAGGGGACGAATGGGATCCCAAGACACAACCGTTAACGGAAAAGCCGATTCTGCTGGGACCGGCGGAGTTCGTCAGACCGGACGGAACACGCGGAACGCTTCACGGGGGAGGCGCGCCCGGATGGGAGCAGCGGTGGCGGAATCGGCGCGCCGCGGTAAAGGCTGCGCGCGGCGGAAGCGGTGGAAGCGACGGAGGCGCAACCAGCGGGGGAAGCGGCGGGAGCGGCTGGAACAGCGGAGCGGGGAACAGCACCGCCAGTGCGGGGACGGCGGCGGCGGGAGGAACAACATTTTCCATAGCGGGCGCGGCGGGCGCGGCGGGTGATACGATAGTGCAACCCATGGCTGGCACGCCGGATATTTCGCACACTGCGGGATACTTCAAGATTAAAGCGCGACGCGACACGAGACTGTTCTACTACTTCTTCGAGTCGCGGAACGACGCGAGCACGGATCCGCTGGTGCTATGGCTGACGGGCGGCCCGGGATGCAGCAGCGCGTTCGCGCTGCTGTATGAGAACGGCCCGTACCAGCTTGACACAGACAAGACGACGCTTATTTGGAACGACAACGGATGGGACATGGTGAGTTTTGGTGAGTTATGAGTCGAGTGAAAAGAGAACGGCCCGTACCAGCTTGACACAGACGGAACGACACTTATCTGGAACGACAATGGATGGGACACGGTGGGTTTTGAGGCCAGCACAGGGCGGCCCAGGGCACTGTGGCTGTCCCCTCGTTATTCCCCTTACTTATCCCGACCGCCTCCCCCCACCACCTTTCCCAAGAACTGAGCTCCTCAGGCGTCCAACATCATCTTTCTGGACCAGCCGGTGGGCATGGGCTTCAGCTGCTATTTGGGATTCTTTTGCCGTGGCTCCGCTGTGTCCCCTTCTCCCCCCTCACCACTCTCCCCACCACTTAGCGTCCAACATCGTCTTTCTGGACCAGCCAGTGGGCACGGGCTTCAGCTGTAGCGACCTGCTCTTTGCCTCTGCTCCCGCTGCTCCCCCTGTCCCATGCCTCACTGTCTCCCCTGTTCCCCTCCCCAGGCGTCCAACATCATCTTTCTGGGCCAGCGAGTGGGCACGGGCTTCATCCGCTCTTTGTCCTCCTTTCCCCGTGTCCTCCCTGTTATGGGCCCTTTCCCCCTCCCTTTCCCCTCCCTCCCAGGCATCCAACATCATCTTTCTGGACCAGCCGGTGGGCACGGGCTTCAGCTACAGCAACGACTCGCTCTTGCCAACGCTCCCCCTGGCCCCCCTGACTCATGCCCCCTCCCCTCCCCTTTCCCACACCACCAGGCATCCAACATCATCTTTTTAGACCAGCCAGTGGGCACGGGCTTCAGCTACAGCAACGACGGGCAGAAGCGCAGCACGCAGCGCGGTGTGAGCAAAGATGCGTACCAGTTCCTGCAGGTGAGCACGCGTGGTCTAAAAATATGATGCTGGACGTGCGTGCGTGCGTGCGCGTGTGCGCGCGCGCGCGCGCGCGCGTGTGTGTGTGTGTGTGTGTGTGTGTGTGTGTGTGTGTGGTGTGGTGGTGCCGTGCCGTGCTGTGCCGTGCCGTGTGCTATTGGTCGTGGAGTGGGGGATGGTGGAGGGAGGGTGCTCCCACAAGGCCTTCCTTTCCTTACACTGCACCCCCTCCCTATCTGCACACACACACACGCACCCCTTCTTTCTCCATAACAGAGAAGTTCTGAGATGCCTCGAAATCCCCTCGCTTCCCTCTCTCTTCCCTCTCAATTCCCCTTCACTCTCTCTCCCGTCCCCGCACTAGGCTTTTCCTTGACGCACATCCCGAGCTGCGCACACACCCCATCTTCATCACAGGGGAGCTCTGAGGTCCCTCAGATCACAAGTCTCTCTTCTCTCACTCTCTTGCTCTCTTGCTCCCTTGCTCCCTTGCTCCCTTGCTCCCTTGCTCCCTTGCTCCCTTGCTCCCTTGCTCCCTTGCTCCCTTGCTCCCTCGCTCGCTCGCTCCCTCGCTCCCACCATACTAGGCCTTCCTGGACGCGCATCCCGAGCTGCGCACGCGTCCGTTCTTCATCACGGGGGAGTCGTACGCAGGAAAGTACATCCCCACGCTCGCTGCACGCATCGTGCGCGCCAACAAGGTCGGCAAGAAGCCGCGCATCAATCTGCAGGTCCGTCTTTGAAGTTACCACTTCCGTCGGTTGGACAGTCACCCTGTCAGCCAATCAGTAAGTCAGTCAGTCAGTCGGTTCGTCCGTCGGTCGGTCGGTCGGTCGGTCGGTCGGTCGGTCAGTCGGTCCGTCAGTCAGTCAGTCAGTCAGTCAGTCAGTCAGTCAGTCAGTCAGTCAGTCAGTCAGTCAGTCAGTCAGTCAGTCAGTCAGTCAGTCAGTCAGTCAGTCAGTCAGTCAGTCAGTCTGCCAACCTTCAGCCGCCCTTCTGCCATTCTCCTCCCAACCCTCCCCCCACACTTTCCCCACCTTTACTCGTCTTTTCCTCCTGATATTTTTCCTGCACAACCACCACAACCTCCACTCCCCCCAACCTGTTCCTACCGCTCCCCATTTTCCCGCCCCCCTCCAATTCCCATCACACCAGGGCATGGCCATCAGCAACGGCTTGACCAGTCCGCACACGCAGAGCATGACTTATGCTCCGTATGCGCTTTTCTAGGTCTCCCCAATCCCTTCCCCCCCCAACCCCACACACACTCAAACCCTTCCTTCCTCTCCCCGTTCCCCAACAGGGCATGGCTATCGGCAATGGATTGACCAGTCCGCACACGCAGGCCATGAGCTATGCTCGGTTTCGCCTTTTCAGGCGCCTAATCCCCCCCATCCTGCAACCCTTTCCTCCCCATCCCCATCCTACCAGGGCATGGCTATCGGCAACGGCTTGACCAGTCCGCACACGCAGTCCATGTCCTATGCACGGTTTGCATACAAGAACAAGCTCATGAGCTACTGGAAGTACCGGGAGCTCAAGGCGCGAGGGCGAGCGTGCCAGCTCACCGACCTCATGTGTGGTGGGTGGCTGGGTGAGGGGTGGGTGAGTGGGTGGGTGAGGGGTGGGTGGGTGGGTGGGTGGGGTGACTTGTGAGTCGGTTCAAAAGGTTTGCGTACAAGAATGGGCTCGTGAGCTACTGGAAGTACCGGGAGCTCAAGGCGCGAGGGCGAGCGTGCCAGCTTACTGACCTCATGTGTGGTGAGTGGTGGTTTGGGGTGGGTGGGTGGATGTGTGGAAGGGTAAGTGAATAAGGGTTTCATGATGCCATAATGTCATGAGGCCACGATGTTTCGGCTATGGTGACATAAGAGTATCAGATTCTCAAAAACTCCCTGCAACGTTAAGAGTATCAGATTCCTCGTGGCGAGAAGTGATCGCAGACAGAGAGTTGCAGCAGGGAAGTTGACAGCGGCCCAACCCCCCACGCCTGTACCAGCAGCTACTGCCAGCAGGAGTGTCTGCTACCTCTGCTCGACACAACACAACACAACACAACACAACACAAGCCCATTCGTCCCTATTTCACCTCCCTATTACAGCATTCCTCGTGTGCAGGTGGTATGGTGGTGGTGCAGTCCGACTTTTGAGACGTCTCAAAAGTTGTGCAGGTGGTATGGTGGTGGTGCAGTCCGGCAAAGGCAACGTGCGTGTCCCCGTCGCCCCCCTTCCCCCGCTTTCCTCCCTCTCACTCACCTCCGTGCAGGCACCCAGGGCAAGGTGACGTGGATTACAGCGTTCCTCGTGTGCGGCTGGTACTTCAGCCAAATCGTGCTTCCATCTGGCGACATCAACATGCGTTTCCCTGTTGCCCCTCTTGTCCCTCTTGCCCCGCTTTCCCCTATTGCCCCCCCTGTCCTGCTTCCCCCCTTTGCCCCGCTCGTCCCTCTTGCACCGCAGGCACCCAAGGCAAGGTGACGTGCATCACATTGTTCCTAGTGTGCGGCTGGTACTTCAATCAGAAGGTGCTTCAGTCAGGCTTTGAGTTGACTCAAAACGCCCCTGCACCCTCTCCTCTCTCTCATCTCCGCGCAGGCACCCAAGGCAAGGTGACGTGCATCACGGCGTTCCTAGTGTGCGGCTGGTACTTCAATCTTATCGTGTCCCAGTCTGGCAAAGGCAGCGTCAACGTGCGTGTCCGCCTTGCCTCCCTTGCCCTCCTTGCCCTCCTTTGACCCTCTTGACTCCTGTGCCCTCCCCTCTTACCCCTATGCAGGCACCCAAGGCAAGGTGACGTGCATCACGGCGTTCCTAGTGTGCGGCTGGTACTTCAATCAAATCGTGTCCCAGTCTGGCAACGGCAAGGTCAACGTGCGTGTCCCCCCTTGCCCCGCGTCACCCCTCTGATGACTACAGACGGATGGTGGTGCATTCACCATTCCGCGTGTGATGAGTCGATTTTTGAGTCTGACTCAAAAATCAATGTGCGTGTCCCCCCTTGCCCTACTTCACCCCTCTGACTACGGACGGATGGTGGTGCATTCACCATTCACCATTCACCATGCACTGATCCGTACAGTATGCATATCATGTAGAGGCACGCAAGCTCACTCAGTCTCTAAGGTTTTTCTCGTCTCAAACCAGGTCGCACCGCAACCACGTAGGGTCGATTGGCACTGTCATCTCTGAATGTGCCGTCTCTGTTTTTGCGTGGGATGGATCGTCCAATCATGCATGCATAAAGGCATGCTTGCATGCAAAAGAAACGTTTCCCTTTCACATGCAAAACCCTTCGCCTTTTTGTTTTTTTTTTTTGTTTTTTTTTTGTTTTTTTTTTTTTCTTCTTTCTTTTTTTTCCCCCGTTCCCGTCCTTCTTGTCCGTATCCCTTTTCCTGTTTCTCCTTGATCGTGTATCCCATGCACCCCACGCGTCCTATCACCCCATGCACCCCGCACACCCCATGCATCCCACATACGGCAGTACTATGACGTGCGCAAGCCGTGTGTGCATGACAGCGGGTGCTACGACTTCAGTGCGGGAAACGCATACCTCAACTCTGCAGAAGTCAAGCAGAAGCTGGGGGTTAAAAAAGAGTGAGTGCACTAAATGGTGGGTGCACCAAATGGTGGGTGCACCAAATGGTGGGTGCACCAAATGGTGGGTGCACCAAATGGTGGGTGCACCAAATGGTGGGTGCACCAAAGGGTGATCTTACTGCTCGCAATATCAGGCCTTTCAAAGGTGACACCCGTTTTACCGCCCTCCCTCCCCATTTCCCCGTTCCCCCTCTTTTTCCCACTTCATGCCTCTCTCTCGTCTCTACCTCTCCCCTCTCTCCGATCTGGTCACACCCGCTCTCCGCCCCTACCTCTCCTCACTCTCCCTCTTCCCCTCTCTTGCCACCCTCAACACGGCACATCTCTTCCCGTCTCGTCTCTACCCTTTCACGCATCCCTCTTGCCTCTCTACCTCTCCACTTTCTTCACTCGGCCCCCTTCTCACTCCCGCCGCTGCCTTTCCCTCCTTCTCTCCCTTGCCGTCAGGCGGCGGGGCTGAGACGACAGCAATGCTCATTCTTTATTAGGCTCAAACCTTACCCCCTTCTCGCCCTCCTTCGCTCCCTTGCCATCAGGCGGAGGGACTGGGACGACAGCGTCTGCTTTGCAATGCTCATTTCTTAGCCCGACTCACAATTTAACTCCCTTCATCGCCCTCCTTCACTCCCTTGCCTTGCCGCCAGATGGAGGGACTGTGACGACAGTGTACTTTCAAATGCTCGTCTTTGAGTCGACCTCAAGGTTAACCCCTGCTTTCCCCCCTCGCTTTCCCCCTTCGCTTTCCCCTCTCCCGTGCCGTCAGGTGGAGGGACTGTGACGACAGTGTGTACTTTGCAATGCTCATGGACTTTGAGAGGGATGAGACGGAGCACGTGAGCTATGTGCTTAACAACGGGCTGCGAGTACTCATCTATGCAGGCGAGAAGGACTTTATCTGCAACTGGATTGGTGAGTGAGCATGTGTGTGTGCGTGCGCATGTCTGTTCGTGTGCGTGTGCGTGACTGTTTGTCTATGTGTTTGTTTGTGTGTGCGTACACATCTGTGTGTGCATGTGTGAACGTTTCTGTCTGTGTCAATGTGTGTGCTGCCTGCGTGTCTGTGTGTGTGTGCGCGCGCGCACGTGCGCGCGTGCATGTGTGTGCACATGTGTGCATATGTGTGCATGTGTGTGTGTTTGACAGGACTGGCCTGTAACTGAGTGCGAGTGTTTCAGAAAAGCTCACACTATTGGTGAATGGGATCCTGTTAGCTGTGCAAGGCTCTGCACTGACAGTCTGCTCGTATGTAGCAATCCTGTAGTAAAACAATCAAAATCTCAACTGCATCTTGTTATTGCCATGGCTTTACTCAACTGACATTCACTTTCTTTGTTCTCCCCTCCCCTCCTGCCTCTTCCTTCTCCCCTCGACACTCTCCTCCCGTCTCTCATTCCCCTCTCAATTGGGCCAGGCAACAGCTGGTGGCTGAGAAGTCTCAAGTGGAAGCACCAGGGGGCATACCGGAAGGCAAAGTACAAGCCGTTCCTGCTCTCAGGCAGTCAGAAGGGCCTTGCTAAGGTTGCGGAACCACTCACGTTCCTACGGGTGAGAACTTACTCTCTTCTTGTGATTGCTCTTGTGGTTGTTGGTGCTGGTGTTGGGAGTGATGGTTGCTGTTTCCCTTACATGTTCAATGTCAAGCTTTTTATCAAACCATCTGTTTCCCAGTGTGCAACGGGCATGCTCGTTTCATTGTATTCTCTGCGTGAATTTGTGCATACCTTTCTCTTGGCTACCATTGTCGCGGCACGAGATTACTTTCCCATTCCCTACCCCATATTGCCCATCACACATGTACATTGCTAGTATTTTTGTACTAAATATTTGACCCCATAAATAATTGCATGTCCAGGTGCATGAATCGGGTCACATGGTTCCAATGGATCAACCTGAAGCTGCGCTTGAAATGATACGCCGATTCATGGCCAAGGAATCTCTCATGGGATAGTGCAACTCTCGTTGCTAATCCTGTATGCATGATAATATTCAATATTTATATATGTAGTGTATTTAACGTGTGTGTGGCTTGGGTTGTGTGTGAGAGGATAAAAGAAGAGTGAGTCGCGGCCAAGACATTATGGGAAAATGGCATAAGGTACTGAAATGTCTATGTCAGTGTAACGTATTATTCGTGTTGTTCGCGACCATCGGGATTCGCTCTGCTGCTTGTACCATGCGTTGTTGCACGTGCCTGCCATGCTCTTATATCGAGATAGCCCTGATCACGGAACCAGCTGGAATATCGGCAAGCCATTTCTGCTTGCAAGTCCTAGTCCGTACATTTTGAGCTTACCGCTTACCAAGAAGCTTGCTTCATCGTAGCTCGCGCGAACTGCGGAAATAACTCTTCTTGTATAGGGCGTTATTTTGTCGCTTCCCACTGGATCGTGAACTCGGTCTTGAACGTCTCATAGCATCGATATGCCTCCTAAGTACCGTGGGCGGTTCGGCAGCGGCGCGACCGCCGGCGGGGCCATAGGCAGCGCAAACGCGGGACAGACGGGTGTGGAGCGGTTGGAGGAGGTGCTGGACGTGAACCTGCCACTGCCGCAGGTGACGTCAGCTCCGTTCGGGCGCATCGGACCGGCCTTCGGATATGGCTTGGGATGCGGCGCCGGCCTGGGGATCGGTCTGATGGGCGGTAAGCAGTGGGACTGGATGACTGTTGATTGACTAGAAAATGCGGCGTCGGCTTGGGGATTGGTCGTATGGGCGGTAAGGCAGCGGGACGGGATGACTCTTGAGTTTGACAGAAAAATGCGGCGCCGGCTTAGGGATTGGTCGAATGGGCGGGACTATTTTGAGTCGATTAAAGGATGCGTCGCCGGCTTGGAGATCGGCGTTATGGACGGTACGGACGGTACGGAACGAGACGGGATGCTGCGTTGGGATTGTTTTGTTTGATTTGACAGAAAGGCGGGTTCGAAGGGATTGAGATGCAAAGACGCATTGATGAGTAGTTGTGGCTGCATCTGAAAGGAATTCTGGGATGCTGCCTGAAGTGACTTGGTGCAAGGAAGCACTAGTGAATATTTCTGGCAGGATCGGAAAGGGAGCAGATGTAACCCCAATTTCATTATCTACTTGTCGATTTTACTCCGCTTCCTGTTTCTTCATATCTTCTTTCCATGCGTAGTGCTTTGCGGTGATGCACTATGCCCCTCTCACCAAGCATGATGTGGCCCCACCCCCGTCGCCCTACCGAACCTTCACAATGCAGGCCTTGGTTTAGGCTGGGGCGTGCCGGGCCTCAGGCTCGGGATGGGTTTCGGCGCGGGTTGTGGTGTGGGAGTGGGGTTCGGGTATGGAGTAGGGAGGGGAAGGGCGTATGACAGGGAGGGGAACCATACGAATCTGCACGGGGGTTCCAGCTACCTGTATGCAAGGAAATTGACTCCTGTTACAGGCCGACCTCGGAAAGCTGATACTCCACTGTGAGTTCCAAGTTGTTCTTAATCTACTTTATCCTCCCTCCCACCCTCACTCACTCTCTCTCTCTCTCTCTCTCTCTCTCTCTCACACACACACACACACACACTCGCTCCCTCCCTTATTATCCCTCTCACTCTTTCTCTCTTCCCCCGTCTCTCTGTCACTCTCCCTCCCCCTCTCTCCCCCTCTCTCCCCTTCCCTCCTCTTCCTCTCCCCATTCCCTTCCTGTCTCTGCTCAGTTTCACAGTTTCCTGTTCCTACATGCATGCATCCACGTGCATGGACCTACTCACTCTCCTTGAGGCAAACACGCACGCATCTCTCGTGTTCAGAAAGTTTCCAAGTTCTGCTCTATGCATTCCTCGTCACACTGCCCCTACACACTGTTGCTCTTGCTCTCCCAACGAACCTTTCCTTTCCCTCTTCTTTCCCTCTGGCACCCGCACTTTCCTCCTTACCTTTCCATCTTCAGCCAGTTTTGCGTTACTTGATCATCCTGTTTCTCTCATGTACCCCCGCCCCCCCCTTTATTTGTTCCTTGATCCTTCTGTATTTCTTAATGCAGCGCTTCGTTGGCTGTAGGCCGCATGGTACATGACCTATTTCACGACATCAGAACCTTTTTTGGATCGTTGACAGGGACAAGGCCACACTAACACGTGGCCACATTTTTGTCTCGCAGCATAACTACGGCATTCTTCAGTCACTGCAGTTGTGATTCCATAAGGCTACGGACCGGTACTTGCGATTTGCAATTGCAATAAGCAGCTTGTTGTAAACGTCGAAATTCTCTATTTTTGCAGTTACTTACTGTACTTGGTAGTCCTAGATATGAATGTACGTTATTCTGAGAGATGTGCACATGTGTTGGTAGTTGAACTGTCTATGATCCCTATAGTTTATCCTGTACTGGGAGTCAACCGAAGTGGGCTTGGCGTTAGGCTGTTTTTGAACTCTGCTAAAGAAATGAACGTCCAGCAGGGCCTACCACATGTCTGCAAAAGGATGCATCACAAACCCTTGAGACCTACTAAAGTGCGTGGATAGCCTCCTTGGTAACTAAAGCTACATATATAAAGAAATACTTGGCTCCCTTTTCCCCAAAAGTAAAATTGTGAATGAGAATAATGTTATTACACTCAATTACTGGTATATCCAAATCTGAACGGTACAGTTTTATTGTCACCCATTCCAGGCCACCTTGAAACTCGAGGAATACCTTCCAGGTGAAACGCTGAAGCGCAGGTGACGCTGAATTGATAGCTGAGCCTTCATATACGCTGCGCCGTTCGATTGATATATTCGACGGCAGAGGGTTGTGTAGCCTCGAACGAATTTTGGCGCGCACCGCATTCGTCAACAGCAAAGCAGCGGGCATCTCCCTCCTTTTTGCACTGTGGTTGCTTGAGCGGCGGTTGCGGGGCTCCCCTCCCCTCCCCTTGTCCTCCTGAGCCACACCCGAGCCTGAGGGACTGAACAGTATTGCTGGCATTGGCTCCCCCCCCTTCCGCATATTGCTTGGCTGTTGGAACGTTTTGAGGAAACCCCAAAGGATGTTGCCCCATGTTGATTTAGAGGGTACACTTAGAACAATCGTGTGCATAACCACTCACTTGTTGCTCTGTTGACTGACGTGGGGACCTCAGACCCAAGCTACGCAAAGGTTATAGTTCGGGAGATTCATTTCCGATGAGAGTAGGGGCATTCTCTTTTGAAAGCCCTTACAAAATTCACCACGCCGCATTTGCCAGGGTGCTATATGTCAGGAGGCCGAAGGCGTGTTCTTTTGCTTCTTAATTTTCTTCATTTCCGAGGTTGCTTTGTTACGACTCGGACACCAGATATCAGAAGCCGCAGCTGGCTTGTGTGGAGAGTGCAGGGTAGCTTACAACCTACTGCGAACATACATGCTTAGTTGAGAACATGAAACAAACGTTCAGAAACGCGTTTCGAGCCGCTGGCGCCGCTCTTGATCCATCTTACCCTTCCTTCCCCCCTTGCGTGCGCAAAGCGGGTTTCCGCCAGCGTTTTGCGCTTGTCCTCCTGGCTGCTGCCCTCTGCCCCAACCCCAATAGCTTCCCGCCATTTTCGTCCCCCAGCTTCGCTGCTCTTCAGATTTCCTCCAGCGGACGGCATTGTGAGACCGTGCCGTCCCGACCCGACAAGACACCCTATTGGATCCCCCCACCTTATATTTCCTCCACTTCTGAGTCCCCCGAGTCCCGCCCGACCCGACCATTCCTCTGCTCAAGTCAGTCCCCCGAGTCCCGCCCGACCCGACCATTCCTCTGCTCAAGTCAGTGGGCTTGCACCCTCAGATGCACAACCTGTTCGTCTGCATCTGCTCCCTCACATCAATCCCTGACTTCCTATACACACCGTTTCTTTTTTCAGGTAACCCATCACAACACACCGTTAGCCCTGGTTAGACTTTCGCGTTCGACTGACAAGGAAAGACACGAAGGCCACCAGCAAGCCTCCGCGACTGCCCACTCTCAAACGTACGCGGCTGAACGAACATTCAGGATAGTGTCCGATTTAGTGACCACCACGTGTCGAGCGTACCGATCCCGCGCGCACCAATTAATGCGGCGCGGCGCGCCACTTCGAAACGCACCGTTTACGCCGCCGTAGTAGCGAAGCGGCAAAGCCCTGGGAAAGACCGTACATTCAGCACCGCGCACTGTTGCGACCGTTTCCGGGTTTTCGAGGCGCCTCAGGACCCGTTGCAGCCGCACCGCACGCTCTTCCGTCTTTACCGCCCGTCCATTGTGCTACCTACTGCGATAATGACGCTGCATCGTCGAAAGCGTAGACCAGACGGGCATTCTCGACTCACTCGTTCTTTCCTCCGGCAACCGGCGCTGATGGTCCTTTGCTTAGCAGCCGCCGCAGCCGCTGCAGCAGCCCTCGGTGACGGCGGCGGCGGCAGTGGCTTCGGCGGGGTTAGCGGCGTTAACGGCGTACGCAGGAGAGCGCTGTCCGCTGAGGAGGAAGCGCGGTTGGCGCATGCGCGGGTCCGCGTGCAAGAGCTTGTGCGGCTGGGGATCGTCGGTGCGCGCGGAAGAGACGCGCAAGCGGAAGCGGCGCAGCGCGGAGCAACGGGTCGCACAGAATACAACCGCCTGCTGGTGAGTCTCGCTACGAATCACGAGCCGCCTATGCCGCAGCGAGGCCTAACCCGCGTTGCTCAACTCTTTGAAAAATGCGCCTGTCCCGGACCGCGCTTTTAGCACCGCATCACGGCGAGCCTCCGTCGCACAAAAAGCTAATGGAGATTACCCGATGATTGCGGCGGTTGTTTCCGGTGATAATTGACTCTTCAACCAACGAGCTTCGGCCTGCAGGACGCCGCACACCGCGCTGCTCATTGTGCTGCTTTAATAAGTGAAAAACCAGTACAATGAACGAGAAGCGTCTTGCTGTTCTTTCTCCCTCGCCCCGAGATTTCCTGACAACTTGAGTTTCTTTCTCTCCCCCCCCCCCCTTTTTCCCCGTCCTCCCCGCCCTCCGCGCGAACGCCCGCCGGCGCTTCGTCTGGGCTCCGCGGCTTTAGCGGAAGGCACTCCGGCGAGCCAGAGCGGGGGACGACTGGTGCCGCGGACTGTCGGACGGCCTCCACGGGGATGCGCTCACTCATCCGCCGCACAGGTATGCGCGCACCACCACGGGTATGCGCGCACCACCACGGGTATGCGCGCACCACCACGGGTATGCGCGCAGCACCAGGGATATGCGCGCAGCTGACCCCAGGTATGCGCGCACCGCCACGGGTATGCGCACTGCCCGCGAGTAAAGGCGTCTCTACAGATTTATTTATTCCGTTCTCATGGCAGAATTCCGCAACTTCCTTGACCCAGTACGGCATGCTGTTGTACCTAAACTTTTTGCATTCCTGGTTCCATGCTTGCATAATCTCCCATTTCACAAGATTGACTCTCTGGATTTTGAGAATATTCTTGAACGAACTTTAATGGTTGTCTCGCGCATTCTGCGTTCACAGTGACTCCCGCGTCTCAAGCTCTCTTCCCTCTCTCTCTTCTGGACTTCTCCTCTTGCTGAGACCCTTTGCGTGCACACCCATTATGTCCCTTAGGCTCCAAGTCCTTGCGTCGTGGTTCCATTTTTCTTTTATATTTTTTGGCCCGTCTGCCCGCCCCCAATCGGATGCCACCAGGTCCTACTTCCGCTGCACGGGCTACTCGCTCGCAGGAGTTTATTTCTGCCCTGGCGCTACCCGTTTCAACGAGGAGAAAGGGCGGTGTGAGGAGGGAAGAGGGGAACTCGAAAGTGCTTTTGCTGGGGAAGAGGGAGCAACAGCGGCGCGTTGGACTGGCAGCAGCAGCAGCAGTGACGGTAGCAGCAGCAGCAGCAGCAGTGAGAGGAACTGGGGTTACTATGAAGCGGGTGATATAGATGGGCCTTTTAGGGTAGCTGATGGGAAACCCACGGAACGCGACGAGCGGATAGCAGGCACCAGGAGAGCGATTCTAAAAGAAACATCGACAGGAGTGGATGATAAGAGTCTGAGCCTGAACGAAAAGAGTGGGCTCGGCGAAACTCCCGAGTCTCGCATCGTGCTGAAAGCAGCTGTTACTCCTCCTCCTCTTCCTCCCCCTCCTGTTCTTTCTCCTCCTGTTTCTCCTGGTCCGTCTGCCGCGCCGTCACCCTCAGCTGCGCCTGTCGTCGTGTGGGCGGACGAGCAGGCAGGGGCGGAGCTGAACGCGCTATTGGCGTTTAAGGCGGCGGTCATCGACTTTCAGAACGCGCTGCGCTCGTGGGTCGTGCCGCGCCACGCCGCCAACTCCTCTCTCTCCCCGGCCGCCTTCTTCTGCCGCTGGCGCTTCGTCTCTTGCTCCAAACCAACCGCGCCCAAAGCCGTCGCAGCGGGAGCAGCGGCGGGAGCGGCCGCTTCTCGGAGTGTGATTGCGTTGCAGATTCCGGAACCTGGACTGAATACCTCTGCAGGAGGCGTTACAGAGGATCTCGGAATTCTTTTGTCGTCCACGCTGAATGTCACCACCTCCATTGCTACCAGCTTGGCGAACAGCACGAGTGACGGTGGCAGCAGCAGCAGCAGTGCGGCCATCCCTCCTCTTCTACCGCAGGAATTCTCCTCCCTCACCGCTCTAGAGACGCTCACCATCCGGAACAGCGCAGACTTCCCCGTAATTGCCGGACTGTCTGGGGCCTTCCCAACCCAACTCTCCGCCTGCTACTCGTTGAGCAAGCTGGAACTTACGTTTCACCGCATGATCGGAGGGATACCCGACAGCATATCGCAGATCAAGGGCCTAAAGGAACTGAGCCTGAGATACAATCTTATCACCGGCACTCTTCCCACTGGGATTTTCGCTCTCCCCAAGCTTGAGTCGCTAAAGCTCCCCGGTAATGCAATTTCCGGGCCGATTCCGCCGCAGATCTCTCTTCTAAGCAAGACACTTATGAATCTCGAGCTGTTTGAAAACCATCTCTCGAGCAGCCTGCCTGAAGAAATCGGGCAGCTGAAAAAACTCGGTGTCAAACCGGACTTTGCGGGGTTAGCGCTCCAGCGCAACAACTTCTCAGGATCCCTGCCCGCTTCTATCTCCGCCCTCCAGTCTCTGCAAAATCTAGATCTCAGCTACAATCAATTCTCAGGCTCCCTCCCGCAGGGAGGCGCGTTCCTCTCAGGCTTTTCCAAACTGGTCACCCTCCAAATCTACGGCAACCATTTCTCGGGCTCCTTGCCTCTCTCCTTCGCATGCACCACCAGCATCCTCACCATAAATCTGGGATCCAATCAGTTCTGGGGTACACTGCCGGGGAATCTAGACACATGCGCAATGATGCTGTTGGAGCTGGATGTTTCTAGCAACAACCTCACGGGACCCCTGCCGCCCAGCCTCTGGAAGTCTCTTCTGCTGCTTACATGCTGTGGACCTTGACCCTGAGCAACAACAGTTTTACGGGCAGCCTGTCTCCCGCTTTTGCGGTTGCAACGCTCGGGCAGTTTGATGCCAGCAACAACAAACTTTCCGGTCCGCTGCCTGATCTGAAAGCTTGTGCGGTTGCCACAGTGCTGCAGGGAGTATTTCTGGCGAATAATTCCTTCACGGGCAGCATACCCCGGGGTTTCATCTGCAAGCAGATGCTGTCATTGGACCTGAGGAACAATTCTCTTTCGGGCGACCTGCCCGATGTTCTGGTGGGGTTAAACAGCAAGCAGATTCCATCAGCAGCAGTTCTCAAGGCATCTCCACATTTTGCTCAGTTAAACCTGAGCCACAACAGTTTCACGGGACCCATCCCCCTGGGCGGCAACTGCAAGGATCTAACCCAGCTTTTCTTAGACCACAACAATTTCTCCGGCCCCGCTGCTCCCGAAGCCCTAGCCACGTGCCGCAACATCATTTACTACGATGCTTCCAACAACCAGCTCTCAGGAACAGCAGCTGACGTGGTTGACAAGCTCTCAAAGTCACTTGCTGTGGTGGGAGTTCGGCTCGGTGGTAACCGCATCGAGGGAGAAATACCAGACAATATATATACTCTGAGTTCTATCAGAGAGCTGAACCTGTCAGGCAATGTGCTCGCAGGTTCGATTCCCAGCACTGTCGCTTCCCTGAACCGGCTACAGGTTCTTGACGTGAGCGGCAACGGGCTGTCCTCGTCCCTCCCCTCTTCCCTCGGCACGTTGTCATACCTCTCGCTGCTAGACGTCAGCCGCAACGGCCTCTCCGGCCCCATCCCACCTGAGCTCGCCCCGCCCTTCCTGCCCTTCCTCACCCTTCTAAACGTCTCCCACAACGCCTTCTCGGGCGCCATCCCCTTTGGCTTCTCCAATACCAACACCACGGCCACGGCGCTCGACTTTTCATACAACAACCTCTCCGGGCCGATCTACCCGGGCAACCTCTCGCTGCTCCCCGCCTCCGCCTTTGCCGCCAACCCCGCCTTGTGCGGCGGAGCCGGCTACCCCGACTGCCCGGCGCCGCCCGGGCAGGCGCTGTCGACGGGGGCGGTGGTGGGGATCGTGGTGGCGTGTGTGGCGGCACTGGCTTTGGCGGTGGGCGGCGTGTGGTACGCGCTGTTCTACCAGCGCAGCACGGGGCTGGAGGGTGGCACCATGCTCGTCTTTGAGCGCCTCGACTTCAAACTCAACATCCGCTCCATCCTCGATGCCACCGACACCTTCAGCAACAAATACCTCCTCGGCCGCGGCGGCTTCGGCTCTGTCTACAAGTGAGTGACAGAGAGAGGGGGGAGGACGCGCAGGGTGCTGTATTGCTTTCAGCTGTTTGGATGTTTGGCTGTTTGGCAGTTCATGGTGAGAGATTTTCTCCCATTTTTCTGTTCTCTCTTTCGCATCTGCTGCCCCCTCACCTACCCTCCCTCTCTCTCTCTCCCCCTCCCCAACCCCCCCCCCCCCCTCACTGCAGAGCAACGCTAGCGGACGGGCGGGACGTGGCGATAAAGCGACTGGCACTGGGATCCTCCCAGGGCCAGCGGGAGTTTGAGGCGGAAATGCACACGCTGGGAGCAGTGCGGCACCGCAACCTGGTGGTGCTGGTGGCGGCATACCTCTCCCGCCCGCCCTCCCAGGAGCGCCTTCTCATCTACGACTTCCTGCCGGGCGGCTCTCTGGACCACGTGCTCGATCGCGACATGCCCAAGGGCTCTCCCATGCGGCGCTGGGAGGTGCGGCGGAACATTCTCGCGGGCACGGCACGGGGCATGAAGTACCTGCACCACAACTGCATCCCGGCCATCATTCACCGCGACATGAAGCCCGCTAACGTGCTCCTCGACGACAACTTTGAGCCCAAAGTCGCTGATTTCGGCCTCGCGAGAGAGATGGATGCTACTAAGTCGCACATGAGCACGGCGGTTTTCGGAACTATTGGGTATTTGGCGCCTGAGTATTATCAGCGCGGGCGGCTTTCGTACAAGAGCGACGTGTTTGCATTCGGGGTGCTCATTCTGCAGGTGATTACCGGGAAGCTTCCCACGGATGAGGAGTTTGCGGAGAGAGGGCTGGCGAGGTGGGTGGGAGCGAACTCCATCGCGAACATTGTGGACCGTCGGATCGACGATAGGGAAGAGTATATGGATGAGATGAAGGGAGTGGTGACGCTGGGGTTGAGGTGCACGTCTAGAGTGGCGGCGGATCGACCGTCTATGGCTGAGGCTCTGGAGTTGCTAGAAGAGCTCAGCACGTTTGCTGAGGGTATCAGTGGGGGGAAGGAGGAAGCAGGGGGCGGAGTAGGGAAGCAGCAGGAATAGGAGGAGAGTGGCAGCGGATAGACTCTCTATGGCTGAGGCTCTGGAGTTGTTAAAAGAGCTCAGCACGTTTGCTGAGGGTATAAGTGGGGCGAAGGAGGAGGTGGGGGGTGGGGATGCGGAAGGGAAGCAGCAGGAGTAGGAGACGGGGAGTAGTGTATCGGCATGTCAGCTTTGAAATTTTGCTAGAAGCACGCTACCGTATGTTTGACATTGATTCACGTTTCCATAAATAGTGATGTTGACAATGTGGGAAACAGGCCCTCAGATATCAGCGTAAAACACGCTGATTACACTGATTTTGTAGCTCAGATTTTCGTTTTCCCTGGAAATTCAGCATATGCTTCAATTTTGCACTGAAATTTCAGTATAACCTATTTTGTCACACTGACCATTTTGCGTGTTGCTGTAACGAGCAGTTATTACTTTAAGACTGATGCTTCAGCTTGCCTTGAAAATTTACACTGAGAAAATCAGCATAAATTTAACCCCCAAGGCTGATTTGGACACCACTTTGGACACTGCACACTGATCGATCAGCATGCCCTGAAACCAATCTGAGGGCCTGGTGGGAAAGTACAGTAATTTATTACCGTAGCTAAGTTACACGGCATCAGCTGCTACGAAGCACTTGAATCTAGCTTCCGAGATAATGCAGAGATTGCCTAACAAAAGCTCGAAGCCATGCTTGAAGGGAAAAAACATGCTGCAATATCATAACATTTGTTTGGAACGTGGACTTACACATAGCAGTAGCACGAACACACATCTCATAACATTCAAACATGCCACAAGTCAGCACACGCAAACAAGCTCAGCTCCTCCTGATCGTATTTACAGGTCTACAAGACTAGAACACCATGGCTGCTGCATCAAACAGCTCAGCCCACTCCATTCCTTTCATGGCCACACACACTGTAGAAAACCGCCACCTTGGTTAGAATAGCCTGATTTTGTTTAGACCCTCTTTAGCTATTGTCCTGCTGCTGGGCTGTCATCCTGTTGCTCTTCCTGTCTCTCTTCTTGTTCCACCTCTCTCCTCCTGTGTCTCTTCCTGCTTCTCATCCTGTATCTCCTCCTTACTCTCCTCCTGTTTCTCCTCCTTTCTCAATTCCTGTTCCTCCTGCTTTCTCTCCTCCTGACTCACTTCCAGTTTCACCTCCTCTCTCTCCTCCTGCTTCTCCTCCTGTCTCCTACCTGAACCAGTCTCTCTCCCAACCGACGACACCTCCTCATGGCCTTCTGCTCCCTCACTTCCTTTCTCACACCCACGCACCTCCAAGATCTCTCCCCTCACACTCCCCCCCCTCCCGCTCTCCCCCATCACGCTCTCCCCCCTCCCGCTCTCCCCCCTTCCACTCTCCCCCCTCCCGCTCTCCCCTTTCCTCATGCTGAGAGCAAACGTGCTAAGCCCTTCAAGCGCCTCTAAAGCCTCAATCATGGAGGGCCGGTCTGCCGGCAATCGAGCTGTGCACATGAGACCCAGCATCACCACCGCCTCCATCTCATCCGTATATTTCTCCCAGTTCTCGATCCGACGGTCCACAATCTCCTCCAGCGGGTTCGTACTGACCCACCTGGATATAACCGTTTCCGACAGGACTTTATCCGAGAGAAGTTTCCCGGTAAGCACCTGCAACGCCACCACACCAAAAGCAAACACATCGCTCTTGAACGACAGCCGGCCGCGCTGAACATACTCGGGAGAGAAATACCCAACCGTGCCAAACAGCCGAGTGCTCATATAGGATTTCCCCATATCCATCTCCCTAGCGAGGCCGAAATCAGCGACTTTGGGCTCAAAGTTGTCGTCGAGGAGCACGTTAGCGGGCTTCATGTCGCGGTGAATGATGCCCGGGATGCAGTTGTGGTGCAGGTACTTCATGCCCCGCGCCGTGCCCGCGAGAATGTTCCGCCGCACCTCCCAGCGCCGCATAGGCGACCCCTTGGGCATGTCGCGGCCGAGGATGTCATCCAAGGAGCCGCCCGGGAGGAAGTCGTAGATGAGAAGGCGCTCCTGGGAGGGCGGGCGGGAGAGGTATGCCGCCACCAGCACCACCAGGTTGCGGTGCCGCACTGCTCCCAGCGTGTGCATCTCCGCCTCAAACTCCCGCTGCCCTTGGGATGATCCCGAAGCTAGCTGCTTTATCGCCACCTCCCGCCCGTCCGCTAGTGTCGCTCTGGGGGAAAGGGGGGAGGGAGGGAGCGAGCAGGGCAAAGGAAAGAACATGGAGGTGGGTATTTTTCACTTGCCCATGAGGTGAGGCAGCCCACTCCTGTGCACGCACACCCTGTGCAATCTCCGCCGTTCACTAGCGGTAGGAGCCAGCCAGGGGCTGACATATCTCCCCCAACTACACGCAGCGCCAGACCCACTTTCTCCCTATTAACCCAGCAGTGCCGCCTCTCTCCCATGCAAACAGCACTTCCCCCTACAGCACTCACAACTACCCATTGCACTCCCCTCTAGGCCACACTCACTTGTAGACGGAGCCAAAGCCACCCCGGCCAAGAAGGAACTTTTCGTTGAAGGTGTCGGTGGCATCGAGGATGGAGCGGATGTTGAGTTTGAAGTCGAGGCGCTCGAAGACGAGCATGGTGCCGCCCTCCAGCCCCGTGCTGCGCTGGTAGAACAGCGCGTACCACACGCCGCCCACCGCCAAAGCCAGCGCCGCCACACATGCCACCACGATCCCCACCACCGCCCCCGTCGACAGCGCCTGCCCTGGCGGGGCCGGGCAGTCGGGGTAGCCGGCTCCGCCGCACAGGCCGGGGTTGGCGGCAAAGGCGGAGGCGGGGAGCAGCGAGAGGTTGCCCGGGTAGATCGGCCCGGAGAGGTTGTTGTATGAAAAGTCGAGCGCCGTGGCCGTGGTGTTGGTATTGGAGAAGCCAAAGGGGATGGCGCCCGAGAAGGCGTTGTGGGAGACGTTTAGAAGGGTGAGGAAGGGCAGGAAGGGCGGGGCGAGCTCAGGTGGGATGGGGCCGGAGAGGCCGTTGCGGCTGACGTCTAGCAGGGAGAGGTAGGACAAGGAGCCGAGCGAGGAGGGGAGGGACGAGGACAGCCCGTTGCCGCTCACATCGAAAACCTGCAGCCGGTTCAGCAAAGCGACGGTGCTGGGAATTGAACCTGTGAGCACATTCCCTGACAGGTTCAGCTCTCTGGAAAAGCTTAGGAGGAAAATGTTCTCAGGGATTTCTCCCTGGATACGGTTACCACCGAGCCGCACCGACACCAGAGGAACGGCTTTTGCCAGCCTGTCAACCACGTCGGCTGCCGTGCCTGAGAGCTGGTTGTTGGAAGCATCGTAGTAAATGATGTTGCGGCACGTGGCAAGGGCTTCGGGAGCAGCTGGGCCGGAGAAATTGTTGTGGTCTAGGAAAAGTCTACTGAGGCTTGAGCAGTTGCCGCCCAGAGGGATGGGTCCCGTGAAACTGTTGCGGCTCAGTTTCAGCTCGGATAAATGAGGAGGTGTTTGAAGAAAATCTGGTGCTGCTGCTGCCGCGGCCGGTGCTGCTGCCACCGCTGCTGTGACTGTGCTGTTTTTGAACTGACCGCTGTTTAAGCCCACTAGGACATTGGGCAGGTCACCCGAAAGAGAGTTGTTGCTGAGGTCTAGAAACAGCATTTGCTTGCAGATGAAACCCGGGGGGATGCTGCCCGTGAAGGAATTATTTGCCAGTAGTATTACAGCCAGCTCTGTGGCAAGGGGACAAGATTTCAAATCGGGCAGCGGACCGGAAAGATTGTTGTCACTGGCATCAAGCTGCACGAGCGTTGCAATCTCTGCAAAAGCGGGTGACAGGCTGCCCGAAAAGCTGTTATTCTGCAGCATCAGGGATAACGGCATGTAAGCCTGAGAGAGAGACTTCCAGAAAGTAGGCGGCAGGGGTCCCGTGAGGTTATTGCTAGAAACGTCCAGCAGCAAGAGCATCATGGCGCAGTTGTCTAGACTGGCCGGCAGCGTGCCCCAGAACTGGTTCGATCCCAACGAGATGGTGAGAATGCTCGTGGTGCATGCGAAGGAGAGCGGCAGGGAGCCGGAGAACTGGTTGCTGGTAATCTGAAGAGTAGCCAGGTGTGTGAGCGCGGAGAGGAATGCGCCTCCCTGGGGGAGGGAGCCTGAGAACTGGTTGTGGCTGAGGTCGAGGTTCTGAAGAGACTGGAGGTTGGAGATAGAAGCTGGGAGGGATCCTGAGAAGTTGTTGCCTTGAAGGGATAAGCCGGCGAACGCCGGTTTCATCCCGAGGTTTTTCAGCTGCCCGATTTCCTCGGGCAGGCTGCCCGAGAGATGGTTCTCTCTCAGATCCAGGTCCATAAGTGTCTTGCTTAGCAGAGAGATCTGCGGCGGAATCGGGCCGGAAATGGCATTTGTGGAAAGCGTCAATGACTTGAGATTGGAGAGAGAAAAGAGGGCGGTTGGAAGAGTGCCTGTGATGAGATTGCCTTTCAGATTCAGCTCCTCGAGGGCCTTTAACTGCGAGACGCCATCGGGTATCCCTCCAACCATGCGGTGAAATGAGAGCTCTAGTTTTCTCAGAGACGAGCAGGCGGAGAGCTGCGTTGGGAAGGCCCCAACCAGGCCGGCAATGCCTTGATAGCTTGGGTCGTTCCTGATGGTGAGATTCTGCAGCGCAGTGAGGGATGAGAACTCCTGCGGTAGAAGAGGTGGGATAGCCGCGCTGCTGCTGCTGCTGCTGCTGCTGTTATTCGTGTTGTTCGCCAAGCTCGTAGCAATGGCGGTTGTGACATTCGGCATGGAACCCAAGAGAACACCCAGATCAGCTGTACTGATCCATTCGTCCGACCGGAATTCAGGGTCCGGCATTTGCAACGCAATCACTCTCCGAGAAACAGTAGCTGCCGCTCCCGCCGCTGCTCCTGCTGCCGCTCCCGCCGCTGCTCCTGCTGCCGCTCCCGCCACTGCTCCTGCTGCTGCGGCGTTGGGCGGGGGAGGGGGGGAGCAGGAGACGAAGCGCCAGCGGCAGAAGAAGGCGGCCGGGGAGAGAGAGGAGTTGGCGGCGTGGCGAGGCACGACCCACGAGCGCAGCGCGCTCTGAAAGTTGATGACCGCCGCCTTAAACGCCAATAGCGCGTTCAACTCCGCCCCTGCCTGCTCGTCCGCCCACGGAGAGGGAGACAGCGCAGATGTATCAGTTGTAGTACCGCTGGTGCTGCCATCACTGCCATCACCACTAGCGACTGAACCACCTATTGTCCCACCACCTGCTGTTCGCCCAGTGAATGTTCCTGGGTGCCTAAAAGCCACCCTTCGCGTGCTTCCTTTCAGCTCCTCCGCTTCCTCCTCTGCTGCTTCTGTATGTGCTGCTGTCCCACTGCTGCGCCTGTGGCTACTGTAATTGTTTATGTAATTGTCATTGCTGCTCCCACTGCTGCCGCTTCTTCTGCCCCCGTCGCTGCTGCCACCGCTGCTGCCGTCGCTGTTGCTAACATTCCTGAGACCTGCTGCTCTTTCCTCCCCAGCAGCAGCAGCGTCGAGTTTCCCTCTCCCCTCCTCACACCGCCCTTTCTCTTCGTCAAATCGGGAGGTCCCCGGGCAGAAATAAATTCCTGCGAGCGAGTAGCCAGAGCAGCGAAAGTAGGCCCTGGTAGCATACGATTGGTGGGAGATGGAACCAGGGAACAAAACAAATGAACAACGAAATAAAGGGGGGCTTCTGGGGGGAAGAAGGACTTGCTAGATACAATTCCCCTTACATGTAAAAACCGAACAATGAGAGAATGCTACAGCCCATGGCCCGTCTTCCAATGAAGAAAGAAAGAGAGCGAGAGAACGAAAATGAACTCCACACAAAATAATGAGGAGAAGGAGAGTGAGACAGCCCTTAAATAGCTCTGGAGGGCAGAGGGCAGAGGGATGAGGCAGAGGGCAGAGGGCTAAGGGATTCCTCTCTCTCTCTCTCGCTCTCTCCCGCCGAAAATGAACTCCACACAAAATAAAAAAAAAGCAGAGAACGTTCTTTTAAAGAACGTGAGGGAATGGTGGACAATGCGGCGAGCGGTTCTTCTGAAGCTTGCTGTATGTGGGAGTATTTCTGAGCACGAGGAGACGCAGGGTGAGGCACGAGGTGAGGCACGAGGCGAGGCACAAGACAAGTGTACACGTGGCAGGGGCGCATGTCTGCGGAGCTGCGCGCATACCTGTGGTCAGCTGCGCGCATACCTGTGGTCAGCTGCGCGCATACCTGTGGTCAGCCGCGCGCATACCTGTGGTCAGCTGCGCGCATACCTGTGCGGCGGATGAGAGAGCGCATCCCCGTGAAGGCCGTCTGACAGCCCGCGGCACCAGTCGTCCCCCGCTCGACTCGCATCTCTCCTCGCCGTGCGCTAACAGCGGGGCAGTGGAGGGAGGGGGGGGTGGAGGGGGAGGGGGAGAGGGTGGGGGTGTGGGGAGGAGGGAGGGGAAATGGGGAGCAGGACGGGGAGACCGCAAATGTTTTTTTCATATTAAAAATAAAACCACAACAACAACGAAGGTTCCGATGCGGCGAGGTCGGAATAACGGCGCAGGTTCAGCGACAAATGATCATCTGCCTTGCATCAGAAGTTGACGGTGTTCCCCTGCATCAAACTCTCCTTACTTTATCCTTTCATTTATTTACCTTGAATCACGCTCCCATCTAAACCTCTGGGCCAAAACGGGGGTTGCTTAGAAGCGCAGCGGTATTCCTTCGTGTAGCCGCGCAGACGACATCACGCCTTCTCACGCTGCCGCATCTCGAGCGATCGGCGATCCGCAACCAGCAATCAACAATCAACCAGCCCTGTTACAGAGCGCTTGCGACGGCTTGGAAGGAGGCGCTGACCCACCGGTGGGATTGCGCGGAGCAGCGACTGTGCCACAGTAAGGACTGGAGGCGTATTCTCGACTTACCAGCAGGCGGTCGTATTCTCTACGACTACTACGACGCCCTCCCGCTCTGCGCTGCGCCGCTTCCGCTTGCGCGTCTCTTCCGCGGCGGCGCGCGCCTACGACTCCTAGACGCGCAAGCTGCTGCGCGCGGACCCGCGCATGCGCTAACCGCGCTTCGTCCTCGGGGGAAAGCGCGGCTCTTCTGCGCGCGCCGGCACTAACGCCGCCGGCGCCGCCGACGGTAGCGACGAAGGAGGCGGCTGCGGCGGATGCCGCGGCGGATGCGACGGATGCGGGGAATGCGGTGGTCACGTAGTAGATAACCATCATCGCCGCCAGTGGGGGAGCAGCGAGGTAGAAATGCCAGGGATTATGGCCGCTGAAACGGTTTCGACACACCGTCGCCATGATAACGACGTCTGGAGCACTACTTAGATTAGCGGTTTGTACGATTCGCTAGAGATATGTTTAAGGCTCGCGGTCGCCTAAAAAACAAGGAACTCGCACAGCGGCTCGTTTACTTCCGACGACCTCGTTTGCGAAAACATCTCATCCTAACCCGCCTTTTGCATCTCTTGCTGTTACTGAATCGTCGCTCTCCCGTCCGATGCGATTGAATAAAAACATCCCCATCCAGCGACAGTAGCAGCGTCGTTTGAAGGAGCATCCAGTGTCGATGGCTGGAGTAGGGGGTTAGGGGAGCTGTGGCTGACTACCAAGACCAGCAAAAGCTGTGGCGCGATGCGGACCCCAGATAGAGAAAAAGGTTTCCTTTTGGAAGATGAAACGAAAGAGTGCATGTATGGAGGCAAAAATGCAGAGCTCGGGTCGGGAATTGGATAGAGCGTGTCTCTTTTTTGCACTCGACCGTTCAAACCTTGGACCGTCCAAAATCGCGAGAGTACATGCGACATCGCCAACGGTTCGAACTGTCGCAACACTTTTCCCTCCAAGCAACGGTTCACGTTGTGAACATTCGGCAGTTCGAAATGCAAACGGACGGAAAACATTTCTGAGACGGGACTGGCGGACGAAATCGCAGAAAAATCCAAGCCAGTCGCACGGACAATATAGCAGGGGCATGCGACGCTCTTTTGAACAGAGTTACGGCAGTACAGTACTCTCGCGAGGCTTAGGGTTTAGAAAAGTGACGTCTTTTCACTCGGACGGTCTGACGTTTCGAAATTTCAAAACGGACTGTCCATTCCTGCTATTGGGACCGTTCGATTCGATACGTGTGGACAGTCCGAGAAAACATGGAAAAAAAAAGACACTTCCTGAGATGGATACCTTCAGATAGATATAAGATGGATGCTCTGTCATGCAATCCTCCGCTCCGACCCTCCCCAAAAACAAATTCGGCTGCCTTTCGGTTTTAGTCGGTCCCCGGTGCGCATGGTGGAGAGCCACCTCAGGAGATTCGTTTCCTCGGTTCTGATTGGAGCAGGCGTGGACCTGTGAGGTCGTGAGGAGCACCTGCGCACTCGCAATCTGAACATTGCGTACCTGATTGCTGGACATAAGGAAAGGCGACATGGTTGAGCCTTCGCAAATGTTTTCGCGGACGTCGACCAATTTGCTCCTTTCCCTCCCCACTTGTGCTGGTATGATGGCAGGATTGATTTGCAGGGATGTCCAGCCAGTCCCTCCCCTCCTCAAAAGGCTGTGAAGCGAGGCGCGTGGAACCTGTCCCCATTGTACAGTGTTGTACACCTATCTTGTGGCAAGTTTCGGTTCGGATGGACTCCACCCACACAGGCTCTGATGGGTGGTAGGCCGACCCTCTTCTCGAAGTGAGCTCGACACAGCTCCGAAACTCGCTAAAAGATCCACGCCCCCTTTTCCAGATTTGCATTTTGGATGAGATTCTTTAACCTTTTGCAAGTTACAATCTCTAAATTGTTCATATTTATGCTCGTGCACTTGAGCAGCACACTTGACTTGCTCACAAGAGTCATAAACAGAAGAGTGGTCTTGCTGCTCTAACGTCTGAAGTTCAACGTCTTTGTTAGCTGCTATCGACTGTTAATTTCATAAGGATGGATCTTAAATGAATGTAAGTGGCTCCAATCGAACAGCTCATTCCACCCACACTCGCTTGCTGATCTTGCTTAAACAATGCACAATAGGTCCTACAAAACAACTGATTAATCACTTTTATGTAAGCAGATAAACATGGATTCTGAATGTTTGCACTGTGAAAGGGTGTGGCTTCAAACCGGACTTTCACCCACTTGAACTCCCCCCAAACTTCACATGAATGCAAAATGAGGACGTGTCTCATGTGAAGGGTCCGCTGGATCTGGTCCGCGACCAGGATCTATACGCCTGGTCCGGGGTTCTGGTCCGACGGACCCACTTGGCGGACCAGCGTTGGACCAGACACGGACTGGTCTGCCTGATGCGTCGCGCTTCGGGCTGCACAGTATTTGCGAGATGCAGCAGTAGCGACGAATTTGACATTGAGCTACCCATTTTCTTCGTCTGGACACAAATCTTACGCGAAACTTACAAAACAAGAAATTTCGCCAAAACAAATGTTTCCCCACCCACTGTTTACGGACCAGGCGCGGACTGGTCTGGAGGGCCAAATAAATGGCACCGTTTTAGTGCCATTCGAACGGTATAACGGGGTTACAAGCCCCACATCCTGGTCCCGGTCCGCCCTGGTTCACGCACTGGTTCTTGAGCTGGTCCGTCAGGTCCGAGCCGGACCCACGTCGACTCAGACATCTGAGACACCCTCTGAGCTTCTGGACTCGACATTGGTCCTACCTCCCCCAAAGTCGCCTCCCTCCACCTTGTCCAAAACCTTTGGCCAGGTGCATACTTGACGACGTGGTATTGTAGGATTGGTCAACATTTTGGTGGGTCTCACCTCCCCGCAGATTCATTCTGCGGTTGATCTGGGCATGACCTCCCCCCTTGTTCGATTCAACTAAACTGCCACAGCGGAGTACACCCACCTTAGGGTGTTCTAACTTTCAAAGGTGGGTGTCCAGATTCCCCGCTGGATGACACGGCGGAGGTGAGTGAACCCAAATGTGGGTATACTCCAAATGCCAGCTTTGTAGAGAAACCTTGGAACTTCCCATGATCAAGTTTCAGGTCACCCTGAATAGAGATACTCGAAAGTATTGTTCTACCAGATCAAAGGGTCTCTCAGTTGTCAACAGAGCTACTGTACTGTACCCGAATGTCCACATTTACTGTACACGCATTCTGGCCGTGAACGGAAGGTCGTCGAAGTGGAATCACCACATGCACAATTTTAGTGTACTGTAAATTGCGGCGCGGAAGAATCGAGCCGCATTTCTAGAAAAATGACTCCATCCACCCCGTGGCTGCTGACTTTCCCATTTTCCCCACCCCAACACCGTCCCACAACACTCACCTCACTCCTCAACCCAACCCAACCTCCAACCATCCAGCTAGCACAGCCACAACCATCTCCTCGCCAGACAGATGCACTCCCAGAACCACAGTCCCGCCTCCCTGTCCCGAATTCCTGTCGGCATGCAATGCAATGCAGTTCAACTCATCAGACTCGAAGCAGCAAGCAACCTCCCTCGTTCGAGCCTCGATCCAAATTCCAGCCTGCGCCAGCCCGTGTCCCACCGAGATCAGGTTGCGATCTGCGAAACGCGATTGGGAAATGTCCAGGGGAAAATTCAGGGGGGGCGGGCGAGTTCGGCGATGCTTCCTACTGTAGTGCAGTAACAGCCACAGGTAAGACTAAGCGGAACAAGAAAATCATGTTCGCGACTGCTTGCAGAAAAACGACCGTTCTTCAAGCGGCTATGTATGACTGGACTCAAGTCGGACTTACCAGACAGTTTCGACAACCCAACCCACCCCCAAATGACAACATGTTACAGTACGTACACCGTGTACCAGTTGTAAGTAGTGAAACAATTCAATCTCTTTAGGTCCTAAGCGTAGAGCATAGTCTATTCTCAGCGTATTCACCAGTCTGTAGTAGATTTGTTCCCGCACCGAGTCGTGGTGTTATACTAGTAGTCCCTCGGCTTGGTCTCGCATTCGTCTCGCCTTGGCTCGTCTGGGAGGTGACTGGCCTTCACCAGACCACTAGAATCAGCACCACACGTAAAGCCGGGAAGCACTACAGCGGCAGCGGAATCAACGCATCATCATGATGGCAGTGCCGCCGAAACGCGCGCGCCGCGGCGGCGGCTCCACGCCGCGTCAGGCGCTTAATCCTCTCGCCTTCCACGGTGCCACCTGCAGTGGCAGTGGCGGTGCCATGACCATGGCTGTCGCGGCAATCGCGCTCGTTGTTGCTACTCTGGCTTCCATGGCTGCTATATCGTCCGCCGCTCCCCTCCCCGTCAGTAAGTCTTCCAGTCAGGAAGGGATTATGCCAGTTGCTAGCGCAGTGGGACGCGGACTGGGACGGACTGGGACGGATTGGAACGGATTGGAACGGACCAGATGGGATGGGGAGACTGGGACGGATAGGGACGGATTGCGGCCGATTTGCTCCGACTCTTGCTCGTTGTGTCACTTTTCAGCGTACTAGTAAGCTCCTCGCCTCATGTCCCTTTATCTCTTCCTTCCGCTCCTTTCATCTCTTAATCAACCTCTCCTCCCCTCTTTCCCTTCTCCTCTCCCTTCGCCCTCGTCCCCCCTTCTACTCTCCCTCCGCCCTCTTTCCCCCCCTCCTCTCCCCTCCCCGCCCGTTCCCCCGCCTCACTTCCCCGCAGATGGCGCAATTCGCCCCCCGACGCGCGGACCCTGCTCCACTGCCTTCCAGACCCTCACTATCAGCACACAGGCGGATTTTAATCTCCGAACTACCTACTCCAACACCACCACCGTCGTCCTATACCTCGCCGGCAACGTCACCTTAAACTCCTCTTTATTCTTCACCTCTAATTTCTCCTGCTCGATCATCCGCGCGCTTCCGAGCCTCTCCTACATGCCCTGGCTTTGGTACACCCGGATCGACGCGCCGGCTGTACGCGTTTTAGGCTCGACCAACGTGCAGTTCATCGGAATTGGGATCGGGTTTCCGTTTCAGTACACTTCGGCGGGGATGGTTGCGTGTGGCGGGTTACCAGAGTTCCCCAGCAGGTGGACGTGCCCGGTGCTGCACCTCTATCGCGCGTGGGCTGTTACCTTCGCTAATGTACGTTAATTTCCCCTCGTGTTCGCCTGGTGAATTCGTCTCCTTTGTCTGTGTTCACTTTAGTTCTGCCTTCTTTCTCGCCTTTCCATACAGTCCTGCAACGATTTCTGTTCCACCCTAACCTCTTCTTGCTGCCTGATCCTCCCCTTGTCTCTTCCCCCTTCCCCCTTCTCTCCTCCCCCTCTCTCTCACCCTGCTTCCTTTCCCTTCTCTCCCCTTCCCCTCCGCCTCCCCCCAGGGTCGCATTCACGGGTGCACAGATGTGTATCGGTGCATGAGTTCAGCTACATGAAGCTGTGGCACGACTACTACGACCGCGACTTGTCTTCCACAGCTGAAGGCGTCTCCTCTTCTCATCTCCTCTCCTCACCCCCTTTCCTCCTCCCCTGCATCCCTTCTCCCCTCCCCTACCGCATCCCCCTCTTCCCCCCTCCCTTACCCCTCTTCCCCCCTCCCTTACCCCTCCTCCCACCTCTCTCCCCTTCCCCCTCTCTCTCCTTAGGGGCGCATTCACGGGCGCACAGATGTGTACCGGTCTGGCGCAACGGAGTTCAGCTACATGAAGCTGTGGCACGACTACTACGACCGCGACCTCGTCTTCCACAGCTGGAGCGTCATCCGCTTCGCCATGTGCGGGGATCCCGTCAACCTCATCCGCTCCCTCAACCGCGTCACCAACTGCGAGATCCGAGGTGCGGGGGAGGGGGGGGTGTGGGAGTAAGGGACGAGGGGGGCAAGGGGGAAAGGGGGGAGCGACCCCGTCGACCTCATCCGCTCCCTCAACCGCGTCACCAATTGCGAGATCCGAGGTGCGCTGGGCGGGGGAGAGTGGGTGTGGGGGGGAGGGGGAGGGGGGGCGGGAAGAGGCGAGGCGGGAAGGAGAGGGGGGATGGGTTGAAGGGGCCACGGTGGGCACCATCATCGCCAACAACTTCATGTCGGACTTCCACCTCAAGCCTTCACTTCCTTGCCCGCTCTGCCCGCTCTGCCCGCTCTGCCCGCTCTGCCCGCTCTGCCCGCTCTGCCCGCTCTGCCCGCTCTGCCCGCTCTGCCCGCTCTGCCCGCTCTGCCCGCTCTGCCCGCTCTGCCCGCTCTGCCCGCTCTGCCCGCTCTGCCCGCTCTGCCCGCTCTGCCCGCTCTGCCCGCTCTGCCCGCTCTGCCCGCTCTGCCCGCTCTGCCCGCTCTGCCCGCTCTGCCCGCTCTGCCCGCTCTGCCCGCTCTGCCCGCTCTGCCCGCTCTGCCCGCTCTGCCCGCTCTGCCCGCTCTGCCCGCTCTGCCCGCTCTGCCCGCTCTGCCCGCTCTGCCCGCTCTGCCCGCTCTGCCCGCTCTGCCCGCTCTGCCCGCTCTGCCCGCTCTGCCCGCTCTGCCCGCTCTGCCCGCTCTGCCCGCTCTGCCCGCTCTGCCCGCTCTGCCCGCTCTGCCCGCTCTGCCCGCTCTGCCCGCTCTGCCCGCTCTGCCCGCTCTGCCCGCTCTGCCCGCTCTGCCCGCTCTGCCCGCTCTGCCCGCTCTGCCCGCTCTGCCCGCTCTGCCCGCTCTGCCCGCTCTGCCCGCTCTGCCCGCTCTGCCCGCTCTGCCCGCTCTGCCCGCTCTGCCCGCTCTGCCCGCTCTGCCCGCTCTGCCCGCTCTGCCCGCTCTGCCCGCTCTGCCCGCTCTGCCCGCTCTGCCCGCTCTGCCCGCTCTGCCCGCTCTGCCCGCTCTGCCCGCTCTGCCCGCTCTGCCCGCTCTGCCCGCTCTGCCCGCTCTGCCCGCTCTGCCCGCTCTGCCCGCTCTGCCCGCTCTGCCCGCTCTGCCCGCTCTGCCCGCTCTGCCCGCTCTGCCCGCTCTGCCCGCTCTGCCCGCTCTGCCCGCTCTGCCCGCTCTGCCCGCTCTGCCCGCTCTGCCCGCTCTGCCCGCTCTGCCCGCTCTGCCCGCTCTGCCCGCTCTGCCCGCTCTGCCCGCTCTGCCCGCTCTGCCCGCTCTGCCCGCTCTGCCCGCTCTGCCCGCTCTGCCCGCTCTGCCCGCTCTGCCCGCTCTGCCCGCTCTGCCCGCTCTGCCCGCTCTGCCCGCTCTGCCCGCTCTGCCCGCTCTGCCCGCTCTGCCCGCTCTGCCCGCTCTGCCCGCTCTGCCCGCTCTGCCCGCTCTGCCCGCTCTGCCCGCTCTGCCCGCTCTGCCCGCTCTGCCCGCTCTGCCCGCTCTGCCCGCTCTGCCCGCTCTGCCCGCTCTGCCCGCTCTGCCCGCTCTGCCCGCTCTGCCCGCTCTGCCCGCTCTGCCCGCTCTGCCCGCTCTGCCCGCTCTGCCCGCTCTGCCCGCTCTGCCCGCTCTGCCCGCTCTGCCCGCTCTGCCCGCTCTGCCCGCTCTGCCCGCTCTGCCCGCTCTGCCCGCTCTGCCCGCTCTGCCCGCTCTGCCCGCTCTGCCCGCTCTGCCCGCTCTGCCCGCTCTGCCCGCTCTGCCCGCTCTGCCCGCTCTGCCCGCTCTGCCCGCTCTGCCCGCTCTGCCCGCTCTGCCCGCTCTGCCCGCTCTGCCCGCTCTGCCCGCTCTGCCCGCTCTGCCCGCTCTGCCCGCTCTGCCCGCTCTGCCCGCTCTGCCCGCTCTGCCCGCTCTGCCCGCTCTGCCCGCTCTGCCCGCTCTGCCCGCTCTGCCCGCTCTGCCCGCTCTGCCCGCTCTGCCCGCTCTGCCCGCTCTGCCCGCTCTGCCCGCTCTGCCCGCTCTGCCCGCTCTGCCCGCTCTGCCCGCTCTGCCCGCTCTGCCCGCTCTGCCCGCTCTGCCCGCTCTGCCCGCTCTGCCCGCTCTGCCCGCTCTGCCCGCTCTGCCCGCTCTGCCCGCTCTGCCCGCTCTGCCCGCTCTGCCCGCTCTGCCCGCTCTGCCCGCTCTGCCCGCTCTGCCCGCTCTGCCCGCTCTGCCCGCTCTGCCCGCTCTGCCCGCTCTGCCCGCTCTGCCCGCTCTGCCCGCTCTGCCCGCTCTGCCCGCTCTGCCCGCTCTGCCCGCTCTGCCCGCTCTGCCCGCTCTGCCCGCTCTGCCCGCTCTGCCCGCTCTGCCCGCTCTGCCCGCTCTGCCCGCTCTGCCCGCTCTGCCCGCTCTGCCCGCTCTGCCCGCTCTGCCCGCTCTGCCCGCTCTGCCCGCTCTGCCCGCTCTGCCCGCTCTGCCCGCTCTGCCCGCTCTGCCCGCTCTGCCCGCTCTGCCCGCTCTGCCCGCTCTGCCCGCTCTGCCCGCTCTGCCCGCTCTGCCCGCTCTGCCCGCTCTGCCCGCTCTGCCCGCTCTGCCCGCTCTGCCCGCTCTGCCCGCTCTGCCCGCTCTGCCCGCTCTGCCCGCTCTGCCCGCTCTGCCCGCTCTGCCCGCTCTGCCCGCTCTGCCCGCTCTGCCCGCTCTGCCCGCTCTGCCCGCTCTGCCCGCTCTGCCCGCTCTGCCCGCTCTGCCCGCTCTGCCCGCTCTGCCCGCTCTGCCCGCTCTGCCCGCTCTGCCCGCTCTGCCCGCTCTGCCCGCTCTGCCCGCTCTGCCCGCTCTGCCCGCTCTGCCCGCTCTGCCCGCTCTGCCCGCTCTGCCCGCTCTGCCCGCTCTGCCCGCTCTGCCCGCTCTGCCCGCTCTGCCCGCTCTGCCCGCTCTGCCCGCTCTGCCCGCTCTGCCCGCTCTGCCCGCTCTGCCCGCTCTGCCCGCTCTGCCCGCTCTGCCCGCTCTGCCCGCTCTGCCCGCTCTGCCCGCTCTGCCCGCTCTGCCCGCTCTGCCCGCTCTGCCCGCTCTGCCCGCTCTGCCCGCTCTGCCCGCTCTGCCCGCTCTGCCCGCTCTGCCCGCTCTGCCCGCTCTGCCCGCTCTGCCCGCTCTGCCCGCTCTGCCCGCTCTGCCCGCTCTGCCCGCTCTGCCCGCTCTGCCCGCTCTGCCCGCTCTGCCCGCTCTGCCCGCTCTGCCCGCTCTGCCCGCTCTGCCCGCTCTGCCCGCTCTGCCCGCTCTGCCCGCTCTGCCCGCTCTGCCCGCTCTGCCCGCTCTGCCCGCTCTGCCCGCTCTGCCCGCTCTGCCCGCTCTGCCCGCTCTGCCCGCTCTGCCCGCTCTGCCCGCTCTGCCCGCTCTGCCCGCTCTGCCCGCTCTGCCCGCTCTGCCCGCTCTGCCCGCTCTGCCCGCTCTGCCCGCTCTGCCCGCTCTGCCCGCTCTGCCCGCTCTGCCCGCTCTGCCCGCTCTGCCCGCTCTGCCCGCTCTGCCCGCTCTGCCCGCTCTGCCCGCTCTGCCCGCTCTGCCCGCTCTGCCCGCTCTGCCCGCTCTGCCCGCTCTGCCCGCTCTGCCCGCTCTGCCCGCTCTGCCCGCTCTGCCCGCTCTGCCCGCTCTGCCCGCTCTGCCCGCTCTGCCCGCTCTGCCCGCTCTGCCCGCTCTGCCCGCTCTGCCCGCTCTGCCCGCTCTGCCCGCTCTGCCCGCTCTGCCCGCTCTGCCCGCTCTGCCCGCTCTGCCCGCTCTGCCCGCTCTGCCCGCTCTGCCCGCTCTGCCCGCTCTGCCCGCTCTGCCCGCTCTGCCCGCTCTGCCCGCTCTGCCCGCTCTGCCCGCTCTGCCCGCTCTGCCCGCTCTGCCCGCTCTGCCCGCTCTGCCCGCTCTGCCCGCTCTGCCCGCTCTGCCCGCTCTGCCCGCTCTGCCCGCTCTGCCCGCTCTGCCCGCTCTGCCCGCTCTGCCCGCTCTGCCCGCTCTGCCCGCTCTGCCCGCTCTGCCCGCTCTGCCCGCTCTGCCCGCTCTGCCCGCTCTGCCCGCTCTGCCCGCTCTGCCCGCTCTGCCCGCTCTGCCCGCTCTGCCCGCTCTGCCCGCTCTGCCCGCTCTGCCCGCTCTGCCCGCTCTGCCCGCTCTGCCCGCTCTGCCCGCTCTGCCCGCTCTGCCCGCTCTGCCCGCTCTGCCCGCTCTGCCCGCTCTGCCCGCTCTGCCCGCTCTGCCCGCTCTGCCCGCTCTGCCCGCTCTGCCCGCTCTGCCCGCTCTGCCCGCTCTGCCCGCTCTGCCCGCTCTGCCCGCTCTGCCCGCTCTGCCCGCTCTGCCCGCTCTGCCCGCTCTGCCCGCTCTGCCCGCTCTGCCCGCTCTGCCCGCTCTGCCCGCTCTGCCCGCTCTGCCCGCTCTGCCCGCTCTGCCCGCTCTGCCCGCTCTGCCCGCTCTGCCCGCTCTGCCCGCTCTGCCCGCTCTGCCCGCTCTGCCCGCTCTGCCCGCTCTGCCCGCTCTGCCCGCTCTGCCCGCTCTGCCCGCTCTGCCCGCTCTGCCCGCTCTGCCCGCTCTGCCCGCTCTGCCCGCTCTGCCCGCTCTGCCCGCTCTGCCCGCTCTGCCCGCTCTGCCCGCTCTGCCCGCTCTGCCCGCTCTGCCCGCTCTGCCCGCTCTGCCCGCTCTGCCCGCTCTGCCCGCTCTGCCCGCTCTGCCCGCTCTGCCCGCTCTGCCCGCTCTGCCCGCTCTGCCCGCTCTGCCCGCTCTGCCCGCTCTGCCCGCTCTGCCCGCTCTGCCCGCTCTGCCCGCTCTGCCCGCTCTGCCCGCTCTGCCCGCTCTGCCCGCTCTGCCCGCTCTGCCCGCTCTGCCCGCTCTGCCCGCTCTGCCCGCTCTGCCCGCTCTGCCCGCTCTGCCCGCTCTGCCCGCTCTGCCCGCTCTGCCCGCTCTGCCCGCTCTGCCCGCTCTGCCCGCTCTGCCCGCTCTGCCCGCTCTGCCCGCTCTGCCCGCTCTGCCCGCTCTGCCCGCTCTGCCCGCTCTGCCCGCTCTGCCCGCTCTGCCCGCT